AAAAAAAAAAACCCCCCCCCCCCCCCCCCCCCCCCCCCCCCCCCCCCCACCCCCCCCCCCCCCCCCCCCCCCCCCCCACCCCCCCCCCCCCCCCCCCCCCAAAACACCACACACACACACACAAAAACAAAAACTCTCTCGTCCTTTTGTATCGTTCGGGGCCCGCTTTTAGTATGGGCTTTTTTCATCTTGTATGGCATGTAAAAGGGAAAAAAATTTTTCATCCCCCCAAAAACTTGTATCTATTCATCCTGTCATCTTTAAAACGTGGTCTTTCTGGTGTGTTTTTTTTATTTGATGGAAAAAGAGGGGAGAAGAGAGGACAGGGGGGGGAGAGAGAAGTAGAGACAGGAGAGAGAGAGGGAGAGGGAAGGGGAGGGGAAGAGAGGAGAGAGGGGGGGGAGAGGGGAGGGAGTGAGAGCAGAAGGACGGAGAGAGGAAACGTAGAGACAGGGAGAGGAGAGAGAAGTAGAGAGATGGGGAAGGAGAGAGAAGTAGAGAGAAGGGGGAGGAGAGAGATATAGTAGAGACAGGGAGGAGAGAAGTAGAGAGAGGGAAGAGAGATAAGTAGCGACGGATAGAGAGAAGTAGAGACGGAGAGAGAGGACAGTAGAGAGGAGGAAGTAGAGACAGGGGGAGAGAGAATTAGGAGAGGAGATTAGGGAGAGGGAGAGAGTAGAACGGTATAGAGACAGGGTATAGAGAGAAGTAGAGAGAGGGAGAGAGAGAAGTAGAGACAGGGAGACGAGGAGGAATTAGAGAGAGGGAGATGAGGAGAATTAGAGAGAGGGAAAGAGAGAAGTAGAGACAGGGAGAGAGAGAAAGTTAGTAGAGAGAGAGGGAGGAGAGAGATAGTGAGAGACAGGGAGAGAGAGAAAGTAGAGACAGGGAGGAGGAGAGAACTTATGAGAGACGAGAGAGAGAGAGAGAAGTTAGTACGAGAGGCGAGAGAGAGAGAGAAGTAGAGAGAGAGAAATAGAAGGGAGAGAGGGTGCAAACATAAAGATAATTGAATAAGGCCTGTGGTAGGTGGAAATGAATTATCCCTATTTTCAATTAGTTTCACAATTAGTTTTTATTTAGTAATTAATGAAAGCAGTGTCTGGTGGTTGTAGGCCAGGGGCTGTGTGTGTGTGTGTGTGTGTGTATGGCTTCATGCCGTGGGCTCTGCACCCAGACACAGCCTGTCAACATCCTACATTAGCCTCACATACACACACATACACACACAAACACACAATTTATGTTTCTCCTGCTCTTCAGTGATTCCAGAGCCCTGACAGTCAAAGCTAAACAGCCAGAAAACATTTGTACAACTTCATCTACACAACATTATCCCCACAACATCTACACAACATTATCCACACAACATGTACACAACGTTACCCCCACAACATCTAGACAACATTATCCCCACAACATCCACACAACATTATACACACAACATCTACCCAACATTATACACAAAAGATTATACAACCTTATCCGTACAACATTATACAACAACAAACACGCCATTAACCACAATATTTACACAACATTAAACACACAACATGTACACAACATTAAACACACAACATGTACACAAAGTTATCCACACAGCATGTACACAACATTTTCCTAACAACGTTTACACAACATTTTCCTTAAAACGTTTACATAACATTATCAAAATCTGCTAATTTCCGACTACTGTCTAACGTTAGAGACAGGAATCAGCAGGTGATGGCCACCATCTAACGTTAGAGACAGGAATCAGCAGGTGATGGCCACCATCTAACGTTAGAGACAGGAATCAGCAGTTGATGTTTAATGTTTATGAATGCTCACCAGGACCAGTCTGTTAATATGCAAGTTACACTGAGTGGATGAGCTTTATATTGTTCTCTGTGTTTTACGCACCGTTAAATGCATTATCTCTAATTAAATCTAATTAAATCTAACAGGGCATTCATGCATTATTGCCTTCATATTAGTAGTGTACGCAGAGTGTTATTAGTGATTCATTCTAATTTCATTTGTGTGAGTTATACATATTTTCACTAATGTGAATTAAAGAGATTTTCCTTTTGAATAACTATTCATTTTTGGTCAATGAATGAAGTATTACTTTTTGTTAACATAAATAGTAGCTTATGTGGGAGATGAATATGTAAATAAATTGTAGTCATTTAGAAATACGAATTGCAGAATTAGACTTGGTAAAACAGTTAGCGGTATAAAAGCAATGCATATGGGAGAGGATAAATATATTAACTAATTGACATATATTTACCTGAGAGAGATGGAGAGAGGGGAGAGAGAGAGGTTAAGCTAACAGAAGCAGCGATAGCCCCCATTATTGCTCATCCAGAGGGAAATGGAACATGACGAAT